TACATTCGTATGAGCTCTCCCAAACAGGAAAAACATACAAAATACATACAGATACAAGGGGAAAACACAGAATATAAAGGGAAAACACATGAATAAGCAGTGGGCATGGTACTTAGTGGCGCCGGTCCGCCACACATCTCCCCCTTGTCCACCTCTGGCAGTCGCAGCATGACTCACACAGGTCAGCTCGTTGCTGCCAGGTGAGGACACATAGTACATTAGTGCCATGCCCCCAACAGTACTTCTCTCTGGCCCGCCCCTACAGTCTTTATTCTGTGAGGAGCCCTTGAGGGGCTAACTTTGTATTTATATTTGTTACAGTGCGTTTTGTTTTTTTTCATTCACTTACAAATTGGGTATTTTTTTAATAGTAAATATAAATATTAAGATTTTTTTTACCTTTTGTAGGTCAGAGTTTGGGGAAGCCTGGTCTAAAGGATAGAAAATGGAAGAAGAAAGATGACATTAAGCCTTCCCCTGTCAGCTGCCAATAGGTAGGGGTTGGAAGAGTAAAATGAGGTTCCCCCAAGTTATTAAAGTAGCGGCACTGAGGGACTAGGTTGCATCCCATGTTCTAGCGATTGGCAACAAAGGCTGCCCAGTCGCTTATTTTTAGCCTGGCTGCTCACTGTTTATGTGCCCCCATCTTTGGCATGGCTGGAGGGAGTGTAAGGGAGGCTTTAAACCACTCTTGTAGTAATATGGAAGTCATATACTGACCCTTGCAGACTTATGTGCTTAGTTTAAACCTTTTCTAATATGCCAGCTGGCTAGCATGTGTTGGCCAGCTGCTACATAGTTAAAAGTAGTTTTTTTTTACTATTTGCTATCTGGTTATTAGCACTGCCAATGGATATATTGTTTGAATCTGGGCCCAGATTTTCGAAATCTCATTGAGAAAGGCAGTTGTGCCGAAACTTTGAGGCTGTAGTCTTCAGTCTATTTTTCTATCTAAAGACTGGACCATTCCACTCAAGTTGTGGTAATATTGTACCTACCTGTTTTATTATTTTATTGCTGTAACCCACTTTTTATTATATTGCCCCCCAAAAAATGTTCATTTGAAACTTGGGATGCATAGCTTACATTAAAGGAACACCCTATTGTGTTAAAACCACTATCTAGCCCCCTACCCTTCCACCCTCTTGCCCCCCCTCCCCCCGCCTCCCTAAAAATAATAAAATCTTACTTGTATTCAGCCTAGGGCTACACTTACTTGGGCTGCTTCTACCCCTTATCTGCCAGCTTGGCTGACATCATCAGAAGTGATTCTTAGAACCAATCACAATGCTTTCCCATAGGATTGGCTGAGACTGTCAAGGAAGCAGATCAGGCGCAGAGCCAGCACAAGCCAAACACAGCCCTGGCCAATCAGCCCTGGCCAATCAATGTACCTCTATGAGGAAATTTCAGTGTCTCAATGCAGAGAGTGGAGACACTGAATGGCAGTGCAGCACCGCCCCAGGAAGCACCTCTAGCAGCCATCTGAAAAGATGACAATGGAGTTATCACTAGGCTGTAATGTAAACACTGCATTTTTCTGAAAAAAGCCTGAAGGGAATGATTCAACTCATTGTTCTGGTGACTATAGTATCCCTTTAATTATGTACAACAATATCGTTTCCATTTGTTAGAGGATGACATAAAAAACATAGAATTTGACAGCAGATAAGAACCATTCGGCCCATCTAGTCTGCTCAATTTTTTAAATACTTTCATTAATCCCTGGCCCTATCTTATATCTAGGATAGCTTTATGTCTATTTCACGCATGCTCAAACTCCCTCACTGGGATAACCTCTACCACTTCAGCTGGAAGGCTATTCCACGAATCCACTACCAACTCAGTGAAGTAATACTTCCTGATATTATTTTTAAACCTTTTGCCCCTCTAATTTAAGACTATGTCATCTTGTTGTGGTAGTTTATCTTCTTTTAAATTTACTCTCCTCCATTAAATAAAAAAATAGCACCAGTTAAAAAAAAAGCTATTCAAAAATGGCACTTACTAGTGTCTGTATGTAATCCAGTGGCGTACCTACCATGGTCGCAGGGGTCACAGCTGCGACTAGGCCGGTCACTGCAGAGACCCGGCTGCAGCTGCGACCCCTGTGATGGTGGGCCACCACAACTTCATTGCAAGGGCGACTGCCTGTCTTTGTGTGTAGCGTTGGCCAAGTGGATCGCGGTCTGACAGAAAGTGCTCAGTGAGATATTAACTTCCTATCAGACCAGGTACCGCTCGGCCAGAAGGTACAGGGGGGGGGGAGAAGGAGCTGAGGGGGGTTGAAGGAATGAGACAAATGGAGGGGGGGGGAGAGAGGAATGAGACAAATGAAGGGGCTGGGGAGGTTGAAGGAATGAGACAAATGGAGGGGTTGGGGGGAAGATGGGTGAGATAGAGGGGCTGGGGGAAGGAGAGGGAATGAGACAAATGGAGGGGCTGGGGGATGAGAGGTAATGAGACAAATGGGGGATAAAAGAGGGAATGGGAAAATAGAGGGGCTAGTGGGAGCAAAGGGAATGAGACAAATGGAGGGGCTGGGTGGAGGAATGAGACAAATTGAAGGGCTAAGGGGGAGGGAATGAGACAAGTGGAGGGGCTAGGGGAGAGTGAATGAGACAAAAGGAGGGGCGATGGGAAAGGGAATGAGACACATGAATAGCTGGGGGGAGGGAATGAATCAAATGGAAGGACTGGGGGGAATGAGACACATGGGGGGATGGGTGGGGGGGAGGGGGAGAGGGAATGCGACCAATAGAGGGTCTGTGGGCTAGAGGGGGATGGAATGAGACACATGAAGGGGCTGGGGAGAATGAAACACATGGGGGGACTGGGGGAAATGAGACACATGGGGAAGGGAATGAGACACATGGAGGCGCTGGGGGGAGGCAATGAGACACACAAAGGGTTAATGAAACAGTGGATTCTAGTTACACCTCTGATCTAATAAATTATGCTGGATTAGAAAATGTTCTGAGCAATTTGAAAAACTACCATAGAAACAGCAATGAGAATGGTATTTCTTAGATAGGCTAAGCAATTTACACTCAGGAAATGGTTATATTATATGCTGGTGTATCTCCATACTTGTCACTACTTTTTACTGGCCAAAGTATCTGTCAATACTCTAAGAAAGCAGCCTCTACAAAAAAGCCAGTTACTAACAGCTATAATTATTATTATTATTATTTATATTCTCTATGGGAAGAACTTTTACTTTTATCGGCTGCCACTAAGCTTCCTAATTTACTGATTGATAATGCGGGTGTAATTTTGATGTTTGTAGAAAATGGACGACAGATTGTTAGTTCCCCTTTTATGAATACAGGGGTGGACTACTATATCTAATATCTTTACTACTTTGATGGCTTCACACCTGAAAATGTATTACACTGGGGCAGTACATTTATGTTGCTTTCCTATATCATAAGTCAGACTTGTTAATATCACAGATCTTGTTAATAGAAATAGAAGCTTAAACCCTTTACTTGCTTATGCTGGTTTTTGCTTGCACTAACAAATCATATATAGATTGCTCTTCAGCAATAGCAAAAATAAAATTATGTACATTTGTTTAGTTTTCATTTTTTTTATGCTTCAAAGAAATATCTAGGACAGGGGTGGGCAACATTTTTGCAGCACTATGCCGAAATAGACATAGCGTGCCAGTCCTTTTTAAAAGAAAATGAGGTGTGTATGTTGTAATATTCTGCTTGTGTTATTTATTCTGCAGTTACATAGTTACATAGCTGAAAAGAGACTTGCGTCCATCAAGTTCAGCCTTCCTCACAGTTCATCACAGTTGCTTTTGTATCGTTGTATTTGTGCGTATATGAGCTATTGTATTGTATATGTTCATGAGTAGTTTTTGGTATCGTGTATGATACTTATGAATGTGGGCTGTGTATGGGGGCTGCTTGTGGAATTGCGTGTGGATGGATATGTCACATTGTGTGTTTGGTAGTGTGTGTATGTGTGGTGCTGTTTGGGGTATTGCATGTGAGAGGCTGCATGTGAGGTTGTGTGCATGTATGTGGATTGTTAGTGGTGTTACGTTTGTGCGGATTGTACTTGTGTTTGTGTGTGGGCTGTTTCTATTATTTGTTTGAGGGGGAGGCTTATTCTGCAGCTCTGTGTATATTTAGCAGTGTGGAAGACTTCCGTGGAGTCCAGTGGAGACCGGGCTGGCCAGGTACAGGTCAAGGACAGGAGCTGCAACAGCAGCTGCGGGCTGCTCTACTCCGGTGTGGATTCCCATTCACAAGTGCTGTGAGTAAGTAAACTGAGATCACTTCCTCTACGTGCTGCAATGCATACATTTTGGATTGTCCTTCACCACCTTTTCATTTAGCAGATATATGAAGTTTCACTGGGACTCCTGATAGGCCAGAGCCTATTTGGCTCTAGCAGCCTTTAGTGCCATGCAAAGACACCTCAAGGGCTGTGCATGGCACACGTGCCATAGGTTGCCTACCCCTGATCTAGGACTTAGCTTTAGAGTTTCTATGGAATCCTTCATCTTGCAATATTTTAGACATGTTTTGATGTTGCATAGAAACAGAAATACTTTATTTTTATCATATATTTATATATAATTGGTGTAAAAAAGATTGTATGAAGATTGGTGTGAAAAAGATTTTATTAAGATTGGTGTGAATTCTATTGTAATTTTACCTATTGTTGATTCAAAACTAGCAGTACACTAAGCCAAATGCAATAATGCAAATGGTCACTTCAGAGAATGGAATATACAGGATTGAGTGGAAACACCCTGCCAAAATTAGCCATTTTTAACATGATTGGCTTGTTTAGAAATTAGAGCTGTCTGGCCCAATAAACTACATGACCTGCTAAAAGAGTTCAGTTTAGAAGCCAGATCTGGTCATACTTGCACAAATGAAGATTATAAATTGATGAGCATCTGTAACCAATAACAATGTTAATGATAAATATAATACATACACTATTTATATATTTTTAAAAAGGATCCAACAATATACTATACAGCCTTTTTTGCATTTATTTAAAAAGGCACAAGAGCAACACAGGACATCATGTCTACATTTCCTGTAATTACTCCCTCCCCCCTCCCACCCCCCATTCCCCCAAATGTCTTGGGACCAATGCACAGTACAGATACAGACATAGGTGTGTGAAATTAAACAGTATATAGGAATTCAATGGTGAGCAAAGAAACAATTTTATTTCAAGTCTGTTCTGTTTACCCTTTGTGAATTAGATGTGAATTGGCCCAATGGGTTTAGAAGATTCCTTCATTTTTAACAGAGTAAAGAAGGATTTGAGGGGAGATTGAATGATGGAAAATATGAGAGAAATCAGGGAATGATCCCTCAACTACTACATTCTTGCTCTTCTTCTCTGTCTCTTGTTTTCATTCTTTCACAAACATTTCAGGATGTAGAAATTGCAAGCGGTCCCTCTTGGACAATTGCAGAGTTTTCCAATCCTTGCCCCTTTACGCACTGCACATTGCTCGCCAGCATCACACTGGGGGAGAAAGAACGTATTAGAAATTACAAATACACACAGATAAGTATCAAACTCTTGTATCATTAACAGTTTCTAGGATAGGATTTCATATTTTTACTTTCACACTGTTAGAGAAACTTTACAAATGATTTATCTACAAAGGTTCACACAGACATTAATGGTCAATTCTGTAGATACATCATCACAGACTGTGATCATTTGAAAAGCTTATCCAAAAATATTAAATCAATGCCATAGTGACTGAGCTATCAGGAGCAGCTTCTGTTTAAAGAACTAACAGGCTGTGATACCCATTATTGCACTGTTTCTCAAGCCAGTCCTCATGGACGACTAAAGTATTTACAGATTACCCAGATCTGCTCCAATGAAAATGTGGATTAAACATGGACTGCTAGTGGCCCTCATGGACTCATTATATTGCTCCTTTATTAAATTAATCTAAGAATTTGTATGGGAAGAAAATATCTATATTCCCACAGTGTACTGCTTTATCATTTTTATGCTTATTTTTTTTTTATATTCATGTTTTCACATGAATATCACACATCTATGCCCTTTTACTTACATCATGTGAATATAAACATTGCATCTCTATTTACATACATGTTTTAAAATACAGAAAGGCAGCGGGAGATTAGAGAGGTCAATGCGTGGCTTAAGTCTTGGTGCAGAAAGGAGGGTTTTGGATTTTTAGAGCACTGGGCCGACTTTGCGATTGGGTACACTTTGCGATTGGAATGGATTGCACCTAAACGGGAGAGGGTCTGAAGTGCTGGGGGATAGGATGGCTAGACGGTTGGAGGAGATTTTAAACTAGTAGAAGGGGGGAGGATCAAAGCAATCTAGAAAATGGAGATAGGACAGAAAGGAGATGGGCTTTAGCACAGTATAAGGGGGGTGGAAACAGGGGGAGGGGCAAACTCAGAACAGAGAAGCTATGTAATGTTGATAATTCACAAAATATACAAAAGTGACGCATGATATTAAATGTATGCTTACTAATGCAAGGAGCCTAAATAACAAAATGGGGGAACTAGAGGCATTGGCATACACTAAACAATACGATATAATAGGCATAACTGAAACATGGTGGGATGAGACAAATGACTGGGCAGTTAACTTAAATAGGTACATGTTATTTAGGAAGGATAGGAAAAACAAGAAGGGTGGTGGCATATGTTTGTATGTCAGCCATGATTTAAAGCCAAATCTTAAGCAAATGGAATGCAGAAAATGTGGAAGCTTTATGGGTAAATATCTGCTTGGGGGAAAAGAAGGGAAACCAACTATTGGATGGGATATGTTATAAACTACCTAATGTTAATATTGACAAGGAACAACAGCTGTTTGAGAAAATTGAGAAAGCTGCAAATCTGGGTAACACTTTAATTATTGGAGATTTTAATTACCCGGACATAAATTTGGACAGAGGGACTAGTAACTCAGCAAAGGGAATTAGGTTTTTAAACTTGTTAAATGACACCTTCATGTCACAACTTGTACAAGCACCAACTACAATGGACGCTTGTCTGGACCTGGTTTTAACAAACAACGTTGATCTTTTGACCAACATTCAAGTAGGTGAGCACTTGGGAAATAGTGATCACAATATAGTGTCCTTTGAAATAAACTCAAAAAAACAAAAGCACGTGGGGAATACTAAAACATATAATTTTAAAAAGGCCAATTTCAATAAGTTAAGGGAAGCTTTACAATATATTGACTGGCATAAAATCTTTAGTGAAAAGAACACTGAAAAGTTATGCATTTCGGCGTAAAGAATACACAAGCAACGTATACCATTAATGGAAGCAAATTAGGTATAACAACACACGAAAAGGGCTTGGGAATTGTTATAGACAACAAACTATGCAACAATGTGCAATGTCAATCAGCAGTGGCCAAGGCCAGTAAGGTATTGTCATGCATGAAAAAGGGCATTCATTCTCGGGACAAGAATATAATTTTGCCTCTTTATAAATCACTGGTAAAACCACATATTGAATATGCTGTGCAATTTTGGGCACCTGTTCTAAAGAAGGATATTATGGCACTAGAAAAAGTGCAGAGGGGGCTACAAAATTAATAAAAGGAATGGAACATATCAGCTATGAAGAAAGGTTAACAAATTTAAACCCATTTAGTTTAATAAAACGTCGCCTGAGAGGGGATATACAAATATATTCGGGGCCAATACAAACCATTGTGTGAAAATCTATTCACAAACCGGACTTTACATAGGACAGGAGGCCATGCGTTTAGACTGGAAGAAAGAAGGTTTCGTCTAAGGCAAAGGAAAGGTTTTTTTACTGTAAGAACAATCAGGATGTGGAATTCTCTGCCTGAAGAAGTGGTTTTATCAGAGTCCATATAGATGTTCAAACAGCTACTAGATGCATACTTGCAAAAACAGAATATTCAAGGATATAATCTTTCAATGTAGGGTAATAACTGCTTGATCAAAGGATAAATCTGACTGCCATTCTGGGGTCAAGAAGGAAAAATTTTTTCTGGCTTGTTGCAAAATTGTGCTTCAAACTGGGTTTTTTGCCTTCTTTTGGATCAACAGCAAAAAACAAATGTGAGGTAGGCTGAACTTGATGGACGCAAGTCTCTTTTCAGCTATGTAACTATGTAACTATAGTTGGGAGCAAAAAGTGAGCCTGTTAACCAGAAAAGTTTTCCTATTTAAAAGCACAGGATTTATTCTTGATGTTAATTTATTCTCAGACTGGAAGTTTATTTAGCCCGTACATACTGGGTACATCTATACCATTTGTGCTAATAAGCTATTCCATTCATCTACAAGTACACTGTGAACAAAGCATTTCCTTTCTCCAGTGTCACATGCTTCCCAATATATGGTGGTGTTAAATTTGGAGGGTGACTCCAGAAAGAAGGCATGCCACTAATATAATGTGTAACACTGTTTATTAGATGCCAGGGTTGCTCAATGTGCAGAGTATTATGGGAATACTCTTACTTAGACAGAAATGCCATGCAATGGCTCTTGCAAGTAATTCTAATGATATGCTTGTTTTTGTCCAATTTTCTGCAGTGTCTTCAGATGCCTAATCTCAGAGGAAACAAATGAACTGTGGGACAGGGATGCCTAATCAAGTCTGTCCTGCCCCGATCTAGAATTCTTTGAGAGGCTGTACATCAGCTTATATCCTTTTGTTCTAGATATATTATGTATGGGTTTATATACACTGCAACAGGGGTTTCCAATTTTGTAATCTATATATTTACTCATGAGCACGTTTATGTAAGAGTACTATAGAACCATAAGCCGGGGGTAAGCAATCTTTTGTATCGAGGGTGGTGTAGTCCACAACATCTGCAGTGCCGAAGGTTGCCTACCCCTTCTATAAGCAATACTGTTACTTCTGAGGAGCACAATTTAATTTTTTTGCAATGGCAAACCTGGGAACTATATGTAGGTCATAAACCGTCTGTCAGTGAAACTCAGCGGGATATTATAAAGGTCTAGATCAGGGATAGGCAACCTTCGACACTCCAGATGTTAAGAGCATTATGGGGGATGTAGTCCATAACATCTGGAGTGCCGAAGGTTGCCTATGCCTGGTCTAGATCTAGGGAGAGCAACTTTCTGAATATGATCTGAAGAGGCAAATTGTAATGCAGGAATTCTATCTTTTTCACCTTCATATCATACAGGGGTGTTAACTAAATTGTCAAGGAAATATCACATTTTAGTTCAAAATAAGTTGATACATTGTCCACCACAGATTCCATCTCAACTGTTTGATATTAAATTTGATATTGCCTGTCTCTCACCATAGAATTCACATCTTAATGAATAGCCCAGTGAAGACTTGAAGGATATACACCCAGCATGCAAATGTAAATATGTACATACACACCCATACAAATATAATGACTGACAAAATAAGGTGTGTATCTATTTCCTCTGATGTCTGGCACGTTTGCAAATTGCTGCTGTTATAACAAAATGTGTGTATGGAAGCAGGGACTGGGGAACTCATAACCCATGCAAGGCTCGTGGTGATTAGAGTGACCCTTTAATCTGATTATTTGACACCCAATACTTGCTATGCTGAAAGCATTATTTAGTCATATATATATATATATATATATATATATATATATATATATATATATATATATATATATATATATATATATATATATATGAAATTCTTGGCACTCACCCTTAATTTAAAAAAAAAAAAAATGTACATTAGTGCCTGGGTGCAATCCTCAGCGTTTAAACATATAACAAAAATCAATATATAAGGAGCACTCACACGTCTTCGTCTGAATTCTGATTTATTCTAAAGTGCAAATTACATGTGCAATCGACGTTTCGACCCTCACAGGATCTTCTTCAAGATCCAGGGAAGTTATAAAGTTTTGGTAGTGTGTGAGACATCTGCAAATGTGGTGTACGCAATACAGTGTACAGTGTGTGACAAAGGCTGCTACATTGGAGAAACTGGCCGTAAGCTGCATCTCAGAATGAATCTACACAGACACCCAATCAAGAATCAAGGAAATGGATATTGAACCCCTGTTGGCCATCACTTCACCCAGACTGGTCACTCCATCCAAAACCTCAGATTTGAAGTTCTTAAAGGGAATTTCAAAGACTCTCATGAACAAAATACATTTGAGATGAAAATGATCACACATTTCAACACCAGAAATGAAGGACCTAATGTAGACTCTGGTTTTCTCACACACCACCAAAACTTTATATAAACACACATCTCAATGTCTTATATAGTTGTTTTTTTTCCAATAATCTCGCTTCACCTTTATTGGATCAATTTATATAGATACATATATGCAGCTATTTACTTGCATGCCCTGCTCTGCTGTTTTCTTGTGTTTTTTTTTTCTTTTCAACTAGCTATGGATTCTCCTCAGTTTCTTTACTTTTTCTGGCTATTCTCAGCCAACCTGCACTCTTCACTTTCAGGCACATCTTCTGCTATTTATGACACCCCACTCACCCCACTTCCCTCCCCTTCTCTTACATCACTTGTTTTAAGTGTTAATCTCTATCAGATTGATCTTGGGCTGCAGTCCCCTGAACATGCATATATTATAGGTTGTTGCTGGGGCCAATTTATACAACCTACACACTGCACAAATGCACAAGTGCACTCACTCATTCACTAAACAGCAAAGTGTGTGTGTGTGTGTGTGTGTAAAAATCACTGGATTAATACAGCTACAATCTCTCTCTCTCTCTCTCTTCATATATATGAAACCAAGAGAGTTGCACTAACCTGAACATGCATACATTATAGGGTGCTGCTGGGGCCAATATATACAACATACAAACATACACAATCCAGCGCACTCGCTTATTCACTAAACAATTATTTAAAATCTCACAGATTGTAATAGTTTTATTTAAAAACACCTCACCTAGGCAAAAAATTATGGGGGTTTAGTTACATTAAATGATCATATATTGCATAAGCCTGATCATATATATAGCACAGGCAGTAAAAAAAGGGACAAAACATTTTTTAGATACATAAATGAGAAAAGTAAAACAAGGATTAGTTAGATTAAAAACAAAAGAAGGTATGTATGTAGAAGAGGATAAAGGTCTAGCTGACTGCCTCAATTAATATTTTTGTTCAGTATTTATAAATCAAAATGAAGGAAAGGGCTCTGTTAGGAAAAAGGTCAAATGAGTCATTTGTTACACGTGAGTTTACAGAGGAAGAGGTTCTATTTCAACTGTCAAAAGTAAAGACAAATAAGTCAATGGGACCTGATGAAATACACCCAAAGTTATTAAAAGAGCTTAGTGGTGTACTAGCAAAACCATTAACAGATTTATTTAACCAATCATTGTTAACAGGAGTAGTCCCAGAAGATTGGAAGTTAGCTAATGTTGTGCCCATTCACAAGAACTATAGGCCAGTAAGCCTTACTTCAGTAGTGGGGAAAGTAATGGAAACCATGTTAAGGATAGAATTGTTGACACATGGATTTCAAGATCAGAGACAATATGGGTTTACTTCAGGGAGATCATACCAAACCAATCTCATTGATTTTTTTTGATTTGTAACTAAAATAATAGATCAGGGTGGTGCAGTAGACATTGCTTACCTAGATTTCAGTAAGGCTTTTGACACTGTTGTACATAGAAGGCTTATCAATAAATTGCAATCTTTAAGTTTGGATTCCAATACTGTTGAATGGGTAAGGCAGTGGCTGAGTGACAGGCAAGAGAGGGCTGTAGTCAATGGAGTATATTTGAAGCATGGGTTTGTCACCAGTGGGGTACCTCAGGGATCTGTATTTGGACCCATTCTCTTTAATATTTTTATTAGTGATACATTAGAGGGGCAAAGGTTTAAAAATAATATCCTGAAGTATTACTTTACTGAGAGGGTAGTGGATGCATGGTATAGCCTTCCAGCTGAAGTGGTAGAGGTTAACACAGTAAAGGAGTTTAAGCATGCATGGGATATGCATAAGGCTATCCTAACTATAAGATAAGGCCAGGGAATAATGAAAGCATTTTAAAAAATTGGGCAGACTAGATGTGCCGAATGGTTCTTATCTGCCGTCACATTCTATGTTTCTATGCCACAACACGGGGCAGGCATTAGGCTGCTAGAGTAGGACCTGCCAAGAATGGAGTACATTGACGTTGTGGCAGGTTTATGCAATATATGATCATATCAAGAAACTAAACCCCCAATATATTTTGCCTAGGTGATTTTTTTTTTTTTTTTTTAAATAACACTATTACAATAATTGAGATTTGAAATCATTGTTTAATGAATAAGCGAGTGCGAGTTGTGTATGTTGTATGTATGTGTATATATATATATAGTCTACAGATGTGGAGGAGGTTATCTCTTACCGATGGTACCCAGCCCAGTTTTTTGTCCAGAGGAAGGATCCGTTTGCTCTTCAGTTTCTCCAGGACTTCTTGTAAAGCATCTATCTGTGTAGAGATGTAGCAGAGATCGCTATAATGCACATTCTAAGATTCTTTAAGTTTACTCACAATAACATTCCTGTTTCTTTGATAGATCATTTAGATAGATCATTAGTGCATGCACATTCAAGGTTTTATTTCCTGCTTATCTGGTGTTTATATATACATATATTATAAAAGTTCAAAAATGTATCTACAGTAAGCTAAGTTTCTCATAAAAAAAATGAATAGTAGGAAGGATATCGGCATGGTGTGAGGTAGGTAAGTATTGGGGTAGACAAGGAAACAAGGGGGCATGAATGAGTAGAGGAAGCAGCATACAAACAATGGGCATGGAAGGGGAAAGCAATGTGCAAGGATGAGGAGAGGTGTCAAGTGAATGGATATGGGGTGCATGTACACCTCAGTATTCACACACACCCAATCTGCAAAGATATACCCTGTATTCACACACTGCTGCTCCTCACAAATGTACCTATACATTTATACACAGATAGTTCACACAAATACAACCCTTCATTCACATACAGACATTCCACAAATATACCCCTGCATTCACCCACATAAACTCTTCTTTGAGTTCTATGAGTTCACATATGTATCCCACCAATAAATTATAAACACACTTACACTTCACATATATATCCCTGCAGTCATAGACACACTAAATGTGAATGCCCTGTTGAATAAGGATAACCATCAATTAGGTTCATAGCTTTTGTGTAACCATAACTCAAGTTACTCCCAGTCATCATGAAATGTGCCAATCTAGGAATTGTAGTTCCTGAAAAAGTGGAGAGCATTTACCCTTTCTTTAAACAAATGCAGTACTCTGAACACTGAAAAACTCTGAATAGTTGTTGCCTCTTGTTTCTTTTACCTTCCTTGAGAGATTTTACAGAAATAAAAGAAAAAAATGCATAAAAGTATCATATTCCCTTTCATACCATTTTATTTCTGTATTAAGCTATTTCTTCACCTTAAGCCATCTTTCCTAAAATGTTGCTACTTTATTGCTCTGTGACCATTGGTTACATTCATAAAATATGGTAAATAAGTAATATTACTTGGAAGAAAACTGCAAATAGAATAATTTATGCCTTAAATAAAATTGTAAAAAAAAAAAAAAAATGCTAAAGATAATGCTATTATTAATACTAATAAATGTGAAAGCAGCTGACCTGCCTTAGAAAACTCTTGTTGTCGGAAACAAAAGGCACACATTTGCACGTTGTTTTAATAAATTGGAAGAAAAATAATTGAGAGCCAAAAACAAGAACCAACATGGAACAGGAAAATAAATGACAGAAAATGTGCAGTAAGGAATATTTTGGTGCAAATAAGAGAATAATTCAAAATCATTTTCACTATGCTTACCAATTCCTTTTCCTCTTGACTACTGTTGTCTGAGATCTCGGTGGATCTGACTACCACTGACTCCTCACTGTAAACAAGAATCAGGAGTAGAGATAGAGAGGCACAGATTAAGGGTAGACGTCTGTTCACCATGATGCTGAATTTGGGTTCTTTTCTACATTGCTCTGTCCGTTGTACTGAACCACCTTTTATAGCTTCTCAGATAAAACCACTGACTATTGTGTCTTAAGATACACTCATCTCACACACCCCTCCCTCGGAAGTATCAATGTTTCTAGTTTGTTGACATATTGCCTCTCCTACAGACAATCACATTTTCCTATTAACCCATTGACTTTTGTAGTAAACATGTGAAATATATCTTAATATTTATTTAATGTGGAACACCACAGCCAGACCCATGGGACCATCAATAGATTAGTCAGTGGGCGGTTTTTTATAGAAAGTATAATTAAAATTCATTGCCTATTGCAGTAGAAATTTTACCTCTTTAGGTTTTGAATAAATATATATATTTTTTTTGTACAATAATGTAGTTTAAGGAAATTTAGATGTACAATATGGTTGACTTGGGCATTTGTTTTCAGACCAGCCACGAGTGAACTACCAGTAATTGCAATTTGATTGAAAAGAGTGAAAAATGTAGTGAAAGTGGACAAAAATTTGGCCATGAACTTCGTTCATTTGTCATTAATTTAATGACAAGGAGGGAGCTACTGGCTTCCATCTGTAATAAGATCATCTTCCTTCCCCCAGTAGGTTAAATGCACACTTAGTTCAGGAGAAATATCTGCCTTTGAAATTAAAGCCTATGTAGGTCAATAAGAACCCCATATTAGCATAAGGGAAGTTAAAACCACCCTCATGCCACCATGCCACAGGTAGAGGCATGTCTACTAAATATAAAATCATGAAAGTCTAGTGAATAAGCAGCTATTTCTGTCCAGTCACTAATACAATAAAGAGAGGACCTTACTCAGGTTCCCTATACCCACACATTAGGGTTACCAATAAAAAATAATGTGGTAGGACACTAGGTGGGGCTATAAATAAGTAATAAAACTGGAGGTAAATAGTGTCCCCCGTGTGCTCCCACTCGTCGCCAGCAGATGTGGCTAATAAATAAAATTAATTGGGGAAACCTAGTGTACACCCCAGCCCCCACCCATAAGTGGCCGGTGGGGACTAATATTATAATAAGCAAAAGGGTCTCCAAGCCGTAACCCCCATCCTCCAGTAAAATTGTCTGCCTACTACCCTCACCCTAATAATAGTGAGGAGTGATAAACAAGGTTCCTTTTATGCAAAATATTTATCTATTATATCTATTTCTTCTTAAAGCTTTTTTTATTCAGCTTAAAAAAAACCCACAAATTAAAAACCATGAAAGTTCTATCACAACTATGAAAATTAAAAAAAAACTGGAAAAAACACAATACACAAGGGCTTACCCACACTATGCAATTTCATTTAGAGAACTCTGATTGGTCCACTCCATTGTATATTATATTATGAGGCCCTACCCACCACCTGCCAGTGGGCAACAGGTGGGGGCATGGAGTTGACACTATTCTCCTCACCCCTTCCCCCCACGTTAAAATTTATTTAGAGCCCTTACTTTGTTATAGGCACATGTATCAGGTTCCCCTTTATTGTATTTCTGACAGGACAGCAAAAGCCACTGTCTGCTTGATGTTTAGTAGACACCTGGGAGCCAGAAATCTTTCTGATTGGTAGGGGATCAAATAAGCAGTTGAACTCAGTAGGGGTGAGAATTGTAGTGCGGACACACTGCAAATACAACTGAGTCAAGCAAAAAAAAAAAGATGGTAGGGGGTAAGGAAACCTTCTATAATTATATCGGCAGAAGTCTCTACCTAACTCTTCAAAGAAAAAGTATAAAAGAGAGAACGAAAAAGACAAAAGTATTTACAGTCTGTAAATCCTCCTTCTAATTTGTATTAGGGGAAGAGAGGGAAAAAGAGAGAGAAAATCCAATAAGAAAATAATCCACTTTACTAGACAATTACATCCCCACCCTGAGCTAATAAAAAGTGAAAGGAGAGAAAAAGAAGAAAAGGAAATAAAGGAGTAAAAATAAGGGAATAGAACAGGACTGAACTTGGAATTGGTGAATATTTGATAAATATCCAAGACTATATACTGTATTGTATACTGACAGGCACAGGGTTAATTGGATATTAGTATAACTAACAATTGCTCATTAAAAGTACTGAAACAATTGGAACAAGGAGAAGAGGAAGGGGAAAACATAATAGACAACATAAAAGGAAGAAGGAAAATAAAGGTTTTTGTTTTAGGTTTGTTTTTTTTCTTTTTCCCCTCTTTTTGTGTGTGTGTTCTTTGATCTTGTGTTCATTTAAATTACAATGACATCTAAAAGAAATGAGACCAAGAATCCTGCAAAAAAATATAAAAATAATGATGCAAAAGAAGAAAAAAGAATACCAGCTTTTTTTCTCACCTCAGCCAGATAAGAAAGATAAATCAAGTAAGGCCCAAGAAAGACAGACCAACATTCAAACAGAATTATCCCAAGAAGAACTGGAAGTAGACTCCCTAGAAAAAAAACAGAAGAGAAAATTGAATCCCTACTATACCAAAATAAAGAAATGGAAGATCCATAAAGAGATGGAGAACTTAAAAATTAAACTAAGCGATTATGAAGACACATCGCATCACCTATGGTATGGTGTTCACATAAAAGTACTTATTCAGGGACACCTGTCAGGGTTCTCACCATGACATCCAGATGGCCAGACATGGTCACCCCATAAGTACCCAACAAGGGATTTGAACATGGGAACTTTGAAGTCCTGGGCCTGCAGTCTACCTTTGAGCCACAGCAGTTTTGTTTAGGTTCAAGCTATTCCAGTCCTGTTCTTACTGGCTTGTCTGCAGCACTGGGGGGTGGACTTTGACAATTAATGTGTTTCACCTGACCTGACCATATTGACCCTGGCTTCTGACATCGTTTTATCTGACCTCTGGCTTCCTTTGACTTTGGCTACTCTTCATTGATCCTGACCTCTGGCATCCTTTGACTTCGGCTATCCCTTGCCTATCCTGCTGTTTGTGTCCTTGCCTGTACTGCGACTTGAAACTTTATCCTGCACAACACCGGGGAAAGATCGGGGCATATGAAAAAAAAAAAAATTGCTCTCCAGGATTAGCAAAATTATATTTAAGGTTGGATAATTTATTTTATATATTCTTTATTTTTGTGTGCGGCAAGGTTCACTCGGCTCGCAGAGCCGCAATATACATAACAAACAATAGATGCATAATATGTGGGTTAACTTCCTGGCTCAATGTATGCAGGCACTTTTTGTTTTTAATAAGTCTTGGGGTTCTTTCTCAGGTTTCTCTCTATGTGAAGTATCACGGGTCTAGCGGGAATGCTGTATATTTGTCTGTTGAGATGGTAATCTTGGATGCCTTTCTTGGTGACTTTCCTGCCTTTTAGTTAAGGGTTATTAATGCTAGGGCCTCAAGAGTATACCTCGGGTGGCAGAGGTTGGATAATTTATCCTCACAAAATAAAATTACTCCTTCTAGAGAAAATACTAAAAGAATAATAGAAGTAGAAAAAGCAATCAACGATCCACTGATTAACAGAGCGAATTAGATATTGTACTTCATTATAAGACAATGGTATTATAAGGGCAATAGACCTCTTAACTAATCAAATTAAAAAAGAAAAATCAAACAAATGTATTTCAAAGATTCAGCTCAAAGATCAAATAGTTATGCTACCAGAAAAAATAGGACAGGTATTTGAGGAATATTACAAATCTCTGTATAATGTTCAAATAACATCTACCATAAAATATATTGAAGAGTTTTTAGGAAAATAAAATATACCACGAATTTCTCAAGAGCAATTGAGTTTATTAAATACCCCTATTAGGATTGAGGAGATTGACAAAAGCAATAGAAACACTTAAAAGAAATAAATCACCTGGCCCTGATAGATTTTCAAACACATTTTTTAAAATCTTAAAGGATAACATTAAAAGTCTTTAATTGTTTTTGTAGAAAAAAATTCCATCCCAATGGAGTTGTTGGAATCCTATATAGTTCCTATTTTAAAACATGAAAAAAGTACTGAAACTATAGGCCAATAGCGTTACAAAACGCTGATATCAAACTTTATTCTGCAATCTTGGCGACTGGTCTAAATACCAGACGTTTATATCCGGATCAAGTGGGGTTCGTACAGGGTTGATCTCCAACACATAATATCCGGCGTCTGATAGATATAATAGATGTGGCACAGGGACAAGGGACTCAATTTCTGGGCCTGTCAATGCTGAGAGAGAATTTAACAGGGTCAGATGGAGTTTCTTACAAACCTCATTAAAATCATTTGGACTAAATGGACTTATTTTAGATGCTATTATGACGTTGATGGAGGAGGAGAGGTCACCAGCGCCAAGGGAGCCCGGCGCTGGATTAAGGTAAGAAAATAAATGGGTAATTAACCATTTATTCGCCATGGAACGGGGCCCTAGTCACCATTTAGTTGACTAGGGCTCTGTAGCGTTGGGAATACATATTTACATGCAGATGATGTGATTTTAACTCTTCAAGATCCAATAAATTCTATAAACGCTTTAATGTTTATAATCCGACTATTATTATTAATTTATTATTTATATAGCGCCATCATATTCCGTAGTGCTGTACAATGGGTGGACTAACAGACATGTAATTTTAACCAGACAATTGGATGTACAGGAACAGAGAGGTGGAGGGCCCTGCTCAATGAGCTTACATTCTAGAGGGAGTGGGGTATAGTGACAAAAAGGGTAAAAGTAGGGATACAAAGTAGGTTGTTAGAAAAGTATTCATTGAGGGCTTAGTAGGTAATTTTTGACAGTTGCAGGAGAGGAGTCGTGGGGGATGGGGGATAAAAACCTACTAACAGTTTAATTGAAAGTGAGTTTTCAAAGATTTTTTGAATGAGTGGAGACTGGGTGAAAGTCTTATGGAGAAGGGAAGGGAGTTCCAAAGAAGAGGTGCAGCCCTGGAGAAATCTTGGAGGTGAGCATTAGAGGTGGGCGTATGGACAGAGGATATACGTAGGTCTTTGGCAGGGGGCCTCGATGGGACATACTTGTGTATTAGGGAGGATAGGTAGGTTGGAGCAACATTATGTAGGGACTTGCACCAGAATTTTAAATTGAGCCCTATATCTAACTGGAAGCCAATGCAGGGACTGACAGAGCGGGGAGGCGTGGATGGTGCGAGCGGACAGGAAAAAAAGCAGTGTCGCGGCATTCATTATAGATTGCAGTGGTGCAATCTGGGAACAAGTAAGACCACTGAGAAGGGTATTGCAGTAGTCAAGGCGAAAGAGAACAAGAGCATGGACCAGCACCTTAGCCGCATCCCGGGTTAGATAGGGGCGAATGCGTGCTATGTTTTTGAGATGGAAGTGACAGGATTTGGCGATTGATTGGACATGAGGGGTGAAGGAGAGGTTGGAGTCAAAAAGATCACCTACGCAGCGAGCCTTCAAGGTAGAGGTGATGGTAGCGCCGTTGACTTGGAGGGAGACAGACACGGGAGGAAAGACAAGAAGTTCTGTTTTGGACAGATTGAGTTTAAGGAAGTGAGCAGCCATCCAGTTGGAAATTGAAGAGAGGCAGTCAGAGACACGAGTCAAGATGGGTGGAGAGAGATCAGGAGAGGACAGGTAGATTTGCGTGTCATCCGCATAGAAATGATAATGGAAGCCAAAGGAGCTGATGAGTTTACCAAGGGAGGCAGTATAGATAGAGAACAGTAAGGGACCGAGGACCGAACCTTGGGGGACGCTGACAGAGAGTGGTTGGGGGGAAGAGGCAGAGTCAGAGAAAGAAACACCGAAAGAGTGCTGGGAGAGGTAGGAGGAGCACCAGGAGAGAGCAGTATCCCGTAGACCAAAATTACAGAAAATGCGAAGAAGCTGTTGATGATCAACAGTGTCAAAGGCAGCAGAAAGATCAAGGAGAATTAGGATAGAGTAATGGCCGCAATATTTAGCAGCAATTAAATCGTTGGATACTTTGGTCACAGCCGTTTCAACAAAATGACCAGCGCGGAATCCAGACTGAAGGGGGTCAAGCAGAGAGTTTTCTCAGTGATTTCAGGATATAAACTGAATCTTGAGAAATCAATTGCTCTTGAAAGATACATACCAGAGGAGGAAAAAAATAAATACCTTGATAGACAATATGGTTTTAAGTGGGCCACAAATTCCTTAAATTACCTTGCTATTCAATTGAGTACAGATATTTAAAAAATTATTGAACTAAATTTTTTGCCCTTGGAATGGAAAAACAATGCAATTTCTTGGGTAAACATATTGAAATCCTATACTCTGCCTAGATGGAGTTATCTTTTTAGATTAATACCCCTCGATATACCAATAAGCTGGTTAAAAATGATACAGGTAGGATTTAGGAAGTTTGTATGGCAACCGCCAAGAATAAATTTTAAAACTATGATGTTAAAACCAACACAAGGAGGGATGGGGAGGCCAAATATTGAACAAATATATATATATCTCTCATGCGATCCAAACCCAAATGGAAACCTCTATCAACAAAAATTGGAATAAAATTTTACAGTTTTTATCAAATGGCCATAACCCTAGCTCGCTGTTTTGGAAAACTGACTCGATAGATGAGAAGAAAGGGAAAAACAAAAAACAGGGAAAACTAGTATCATCAAAAGTTATTCTTGACCTAATTCAAAATTGGTCTAAGTTCAACTCAATATTAAAACTATACTCTTAGATAGTTGGAAAGAACTGGGTATGCATAGAGTAGACTATATTGTTGCCCATAATGATATCATGTCTTTTAATCAACTGCTACATAAATACAACCTACCAGACAGAGAAATCTTTAATTTCTTAAGAGTGAAAGGATATATAAATAAAAATTTATATAAAGGAGAAAATGATCAAACAGATAAATTAATGAATCTGCTTAAGAAAAAAGAATGATAGAAAACTACATAGAGGAGACTTTCTTCATATGTGGTGGACTTGTCCACCCTTACACCTTTTTTGGGAGATAATAAGAAAAAAAATATCTTATTGTGATGTAAATCTTACCTTTAGTCCAGAAATCTTCCTATTACATATGGAATTGGATAAATTGACAAAATACAAGTGAGATTTTATAATCCATATAATAATGGTGGCAAAATTATTACTAGACATTGGAACACACCAGATATTCTCCATTGGTCTGAAGAAGAAGTACAGTTACTCTACCAAATAAAAAGGAGAGAGGAAGGTGGACCAATCAGAGGCAAAATTAAACATTGGGACTGTATTAAGACAAGTTGAAGCCAGAGTAGAACAATACAGTATAAATTATGAAAATTAAGGTTACGGTAAACAGAGCAACAACTCCCCTATCGACAGCAACTGGTGGGGGAGGGAGGGGTTATTGACTGGATGTTTTATTTCTGTAAGCATTTATATAACACTACTTTACACTAATGTTTGTTGACAATTATATATGTATAACATTCAGTATGCAAATATCCCTGTCAAATATGTTTAGATCTTGTTAATCTAGAGAATGAAAAAGAATAAAAGATAAAAAAAAATTACAATAAAAAATTGAAGTACTTAGTAGACCAAGTGGATTGACCAACCTTATAGGATGAAGCAGGTCCCTTTTGCGATCAGTGTATCGTTTATACAGTTGTTGGCTGTTCATTAAGATCTTTTGCGTGCGTTCAAACCTCTTTGTGATTAGTTGCAGTCGTTCAATTAGTGAGTGGAGTCGCCATTATAGGAAAATTCGGCAGGTGCTAGAAGTTCCTTCCAGTCCAGTGTTGTATAACAGCAATGTAACAACCTCCTACCATGTTGCCCGGGAATCTCTACCTTTTGTTTTCCTGCCATCATCCACATTGCCCTGTACCTAAAAACAAAGACTGTGTCTGGCATTATAACTGTTTTGTGCAAAGGATTGGTACGTTTGATATGGCACTTCGGATACAGCCAAAGTGCCGAAGTAGTCGAAGTGGCCGCCATTAGACAATTGAACACGTGGTGGCGGCCACTTTAATTAAGTCGAACACGGACAGCGGTGTGTGCCATCAAATCCCTGGAACGGAAATCGGCCACACATTTGAACGAACACCACTGACCTGTACCTTCCCTAACCTTCGACACCACGGCTGGAGACTAAGTCCCGTTTGAAAATTCGAACATATCTTTTTAGTGTAAAATAGACCTCCACTTAACTAGCGAACACCTCTGAAACTTAACCCCGTTTTCACTTCGACAGAAGTCGAAGTGCGTTCAACTATTGTTAATTTTCAGGGCAGTAATAGACCGACCGCACAGCCTGAATCTGTGGAACTGTTTTGGGCATGCAAACAGGCGTGCGGTCGGTCCAAAGAGACTTTTTAATATTTCTGGAACCCCTGAACAGATTTGTACGAATTTTGAATATGTTTGTCCCCAAGTTGTGTTGTTCATAAAAATATAAGTTTTATTTCTATATGATGAAAAATAAGAAAGTTATAAAAATGCATAAAAAGTATAAGTTTTAGCTTGGAAATAATTGAGTAGATACAGTAAGAAACTCAATTATCTCCCAAGCAGAGGGGAGGGAATCTGTGGGTTGTAACCAGTGGCGTACATACCAGGGTCGCGACTGCGACCGGGCCTGGCCCACCAGGGGGCCCGGCCGCCCCTGCGACTCGGTATGTACCCACAGGGCCAGCCTCTTCTCCTGGGGGGCCCAGGAGGCGGACACCTCAGGGCCCCCCCGAGGCTGGCCCTGCTGTCACCGGGCAGACTGTCTGGGTGGCCAGCGCGTGAGGGAGCACTCTCCTTTGTGTGCTTCCTCTTCAGCTCCCTCGCGCACCGCATTGATACTGGAGCCGGAAGATGACGTCATCTTCTGGCTCCGGTATCAATGCGGTGTGCGAGGGAGCTGAAAAGGAAGCACACAAAGGAGGGTGCTCCCTCGCGCGCCGGCCACCCAGACAGTCCGCCCGCCCACGCAGCAGCACCACCACTGGACCCCAGGGAATCCCCGCAGCACTCCAAAAGGTAAGGAGGCTGGGGGGGACTAAATAAAAAAAAAATGTGTGTGTGTTTGTTAATGTGTGTGTGTTAATGTGTGTGTCTGTTAGAGTGTGTTAGTGTGTGTGTCTGTTAGTGTGTGTTTGTGTGTGTGTGTGTTTGTGTGTGTCAGTGAGTGTGTCTTACTGAGTGTGTTTGATGTCTGTTAATGAGTGTGTGTTTGGCAGTGAAAGTGTATGTATGTCTGTCGCTGAGTGTGTCTCTGTCAGTAAATGTGTGTGTCTGTTAGCTAGTGTGTATGCATCTGTTCATGAGAGTGTGTGTGTGTGTGTGTCTTCAGCATTTACCTTTCTCCAGCGTCGGACTCCCTTGGCGCTGGGGATCCCTCCGCCTCTCAGCTCCGAATGCACATCCACGGCAAGAGGCGCGCGTGCATTTAAACCGCCCATAGGAAAGCATTACTCAATGCTTTCCTATGGACGTTCAGTGTCTTCTCACTGTGATTTTCACAGTTAGAATCACGGAAGCTCCTCTAGCAGCTGTCAATGAGATAGCCACCAGAGGCTGGATTAACCCTCAGTGAAACATAGCCGTTTCTCTGAAACTGCTATGTTTTCAGCTGCAGGGTTAAAACTGGAGGGACCTGGCACCCAGACCACTTCATTGAGCTGATGTGATCTGGGTGTCTGTAGTGGTCCTTTAAGTGTGCGTGCATGCCACGGTCGCGGGGTCGCAGGCCTGCGACCAGGTGCCCGCCGCCAGTTGTCACGTCCCTGACCCGCTCCGAGTAAGCGCGCGGGGGGAACGGATTAGTTCCCCGCACCGGGGCACCATGGGTCATGTGTACGCCACTGGTTGTAACCATTGTTGGACTGGTTAATGTCTAATTGTTTGTGGGTGTCTCCCTTGCATGGGAGCACCACATAAAAGGAGAGTACCTGTCATTAAACCTCAGTTCTACTTTACCCTTCAAAACGTAGCTTTGTCTCGTTCTTGAAAGGGAATCTGTTCAGCTAATCACTAGCTCTTTTAAGAGCTCTACCTCTCCCTCTCTACTTGGATCCAGCTGATAGAAAGAAGGCTACTCCATTACTGCACAGCATCTTGCTGGGAAGAAGGACATCTCCAACGGCTGATACCCCCTCTCCACTGGGGTAGCCGTTACAAGCGATGATAGGTTTCCAAGGTCTGATTTGTTCTTTCACTTTGTCTGTTGGACTTAGGGTGAAAAGCAGTGGACAAATCAACAAAAAATGCTTGCCAGAATCTAGATGTCAACTGAGGTCCTCTGTCTGAGAGGATAGATTGAGGTACACCATAAAGTTTGTAGTCATATCATGAAATAAGGTTGCTGTTTTCTTGGCTTATGTTAGTTCTTTAACGGGCCATCTTAGTGAGACCATTCACTACTCCCTTAATACTATTTTAGCCTTGTGATTTTGGTAGGTGAAGTATGAAATCAACTGATATATGTGTCCAAGGGAATTGAGGAATGGTGTAGAAAGAAACCCAGGAGAAAAACAAGGTCCATCTAGCTTGTCATAGATTTAAATGTTTAGCAGTGCGAATGTATTCTAGAATCTTGTGGTCTGTATAAACTGTAATGAGGTAATTGGAGCCTTCCAAGAAATGCCTCCATTCATCAAAGGCTCTCTTGGTTGCCACTAATTTCCCCCTAAACTCTCTTCTGTCCCTCTCAAGCATCCTCATACTATAATTATGCCCTGTCTACTGCTCTAGTCATGGTTATGCCAATCAGAGCACACTCAAGGCATCAGCCACACCTTCAACCCTGGCACAGCAAGCTCACTTGCAATCTCTAATGATGTTCCTGTACTGAAGAATGTTGCAGGAGAAAGCCTTGCAGCGCACCTGACTGCCTAAATTACAAATTCATGCTACATTCCTATACAGTGAGGGGAAAAAAGTATTTGATCCCCTGCTGATTGTGGTGTATCACCAAATTAATATATATATTACACAAGGTTCGTCTACATTAAAAGGTATTTATTAAAAGGCAACAACACAATACTATAACTGTATCACAAACACACAGCCCAGACCCACGGAGCAACAACCCTTTTTAAATCTATCTATCTATCTATCTATCTATATAGTAATCCCGTTCCCCACACGTTTGATCTCACCCACGGTTAGGACTTCACATCTAGTAATGGCTCACTGCTGCAAGTTCAACATCACATCCACCAAGGAAGAAAAGGAAGCAACAGAAAGATTTCCTGCCTGGCCTTATGTTATATACCCTTAGTTGAGATGATGTGTTTTACATCACATCCTGTTCATGCATCACTTCCTTTAGCAATTGTGGGAGGGAAGTAAAGATTCTTAGCCCTCCTACCTAGACCTGTTTAAGGAGGTCCTGAAAGGAAGATAAATTACCATGCAAGGAAGACAAGTTACCACACTGATTTTGAAAATTTGCCCACTGACAAAGAAAATGATCAGTCTATAATTTTAATGGTAGGTGTATTTTAATAGTGAGAGACAGAACAACAAAAAAAATCTAGAAAAACGCATGTCAAAAAAGTTATAAATTGATTTGCATATTAATGAGTAAAATAAGTATTTGACCCCTTCAACTTAGTACTCGGTGGGAAAACCCTTGTTGGCAATTACAGAGGTCAGACATTTCTTGTAGTTGGTCACCAGATTTGCACACACTCCTCTTTGCAGATCCTATCCAAGTCAATAAGGTTTTCAGGCTGACGTTTGGCAACTCGAATTTTCAGCTCTCTCCACAGATTTTCTATGGGATTAAGGTCTGGAGACTGGCTAGGCCACTCCATGATCTTAATGTGCTTCTTATTGAGCTTCTCCTTTGTTGCATTGGCTGTGTGTTTTGGTTCATTGTTATGCTGGAATACCCATGCACAACCCATTTTCAATGCCCTGGCTGAGGGATGGAGGTTCTCACCCAAGATTTGACGTTACATGGCCCCGTTCATCGTCCCTATGATGCGGTGCAGTTGTCCTGTCCTCTTAGCAGAAAAACACCCCCAAAGCACAATGTGTCCATCTCCATGTTTGACATTGGGGGTGGTATTCTTTGGGTTATATGCAGCACTCCTCCTCCAAACACATTGAGTTAATGTCAAAGAGCAAAATTTTGGTCTCATCTGACCACAACACTTTCCACCAGTTTCTCCTCTCCATCTGAACATCATTCAGATGTTCAGTGGCAAACTTCAGACGGGCCTGTACGTGTGCTTCCTTAAGCAGGGGGACCTTGCGGGCATTGCAGGATTTCAATCCTTCATGGCGTAGTGTGTTACCAATTGTTTTTTTGGCGACCAGCTGTCTTGAGATCATTAACAAGATCCTCCCGTGTAGTTCTGGGCTGATTCCTCACCATTCTCATGAACATTGAAACTCCACGAGGTGAGATCTTGCATGGAACACCAGACCAAGGCAGACAGTTATTTTGTGTTTCTTCCATTTGCGAATAATCGCACCAACTGTTGTCACCTTCTCACCAAGCTGCTTGGCAATGGTCTTGTAGCCCATTCCAGCCTTGTGTAGGTCTACAATCTTGTTCCTGACATCATTGAACAGCTCTTTGACCTTGGCCATGGTGGAGAGTTTGGAATCTGATTGCTTCTGTAGACAGGTGTCTTTTATACAGGTAACAAGCTGAGATTAGGAGCACTCCCTTTAACCCCTTAAGGACCAAACTTCTGGAATAAAAGGGAATCATGACATGTCACATATTTCATGTGTCCTTAAGGGGTTTAGAGAGTGCTCCTAATCTCAGCTTCCCACCTGTATAAAAGACACCTGGGAGCCAGAAATCTTGCTGATTGATAAATACTTATTTCACTCATTGACATGCAAATCAATTTATAACTTTTTTGACATGTGTTTTTCAGAATTTTTGTTGTTGTTGTTATTCTGTCTCTCACTGTTAAAATTCACCTACCATTAGAATTATAGAGTGATCATTTCTTTGTCAGTGGACAAACGTTCAAAATCAGTAGGGGATCAAATACTTTTTTCCCTCACTGTATTTCTGCCCTCTCCATTTCCAAGCAAGAGTATTTTACCTCACTCATATCCACATACTATTGTGATACCATAAACCAGCATCAGTCATGGGCGCTCAAGGCTCATTAATGCATGTAGGGGGGAGCAAAGTCTAGCCCATCTGGTCCGATCACATAGAAGAGCTACTTTAGTTCAATTTGCTGAAAATCGTAATGCGGGTCATGATAGAAACGTTTCAGAGCGCACAGTACATCACAGTTTGCTGTTTTGGGTGCTGCATAGCCACAGACCAGTCAGAGTGCCCATGATTACCCCTGTGTCTTCACTGGGGAAGTGAGCATCAGAACTGGACCATGAAGCAAAAAAAGAAGGTTGCCTAGTCTGATGTTTTCATTTAGGTCATATAGATGACTGGGCACATGTGAGATGAGTAGCTGGGGAAGAGATGGCAGCAGCAGCCAAGGGAAGCAGTGTTATGCTCTGGACAATGTTCTGCTGGGAAACCTTGTGTCCTGGCATTCATGGGCATGGTACCTTGACACAATCTACCTAGAGATTTTTGCAGACCACATACACCCTTCATGGCAATGGTGTTCCCTGATGGCAGTGGTCTCTTTCAGCAGGATTATGCACCCTGCCACACAGCAAAAATTGTTTAGGAAAGGTTTAAGAAACATGACAAAGAGCTCAAGTTGTTGCCTTGACCTACAAATTCACAGATCCCAATCCAATTGAGCATCTGAAGGATGTGCTGAACAACAAATCTCATCCATGGAGGCCCCACCTCATTGCTTGCAGGACTTAAAGGATCTGCTGCTAATGTCTTTGTGCCAGATACCACAGGACACATTCAAAGGTCTTGTGAATTCCATGCCTCGATGTATATGAGCTAATTTGGTAGCACAAGTGGGACCTAAATATTATTAGGCAGTTGGTTTTAATGTTGTGGCAAGTGTATGTACAAAGGGAACATTTAAGCCCTTTTGAGGCTGCTTCAACTTCAAACTACTAATACACATTAAACTATCAGAAACCAAAATTAAAGGGACACTATAGTCACCAGAACAACTACAACTTATTAAATTTGTTCTGGTGAGTAGTATCATTACCGTCAGGCTTTTTGCTGTAAACACTGTCTTTTCAGAGAAAATGCAGTGTTTACATTGCAGCCTTGTGATAACTTCACTGGCCACTCCTCAGATAGCTGTTAGAGATCCTTCCTGGGTCATGGCTGCCTAAAATGCATCCAAACATTCAGTGTCTCCTCTGATGCAGACATTGAACTTTCCTCATAGAGATTCATTGATTCAATTCATCTCTATGAGGAGATGCTGATTGGCCAGGACTATGTTTGAATCATGCTGGCTCTGCCCCTTATCTGCCTCTTTGTCAGTCTCAGCCAATCCTATGGAGATCAAGGCACCACTTCTGATGATGTCAGCAGACTGCTTGTTTTTTTCTGAGTCAAACAGCATGCAGAGGTACAGCTTCAGGCTTGAATACAGTAAGATTTCTATATTTAGGGAGGCATGAGGGGCCCAGGGGGGCTAAATGGTGGTTTTAACACTATAGGGTCAGGAATACATGTTTATGTTCCTGGCCCTATAATGATCCTTTAAAGTCAACATTAAACATCATAACCAAAAAAATTAATTATATTAATGACAAAAGTAGGAGCTATAAAAATATAAAATAAATAATTTAGTATTTTAACTGTATATATGGAGATGAGCTAGATAATACAAAATAAAAACAAGGGGAGCATGGCTTGGCTGCTCATGGAGCAAGACATGTAAGAGCTGTGCTCTGCAACGCTGACCCTTTCAGCCCAAAATATGAAGCAATAGACTGAAGCTATGCAGACCCCTGCTCTCACCAGGCTCATTCCCTGAGGGTGTTAACAGGACCAAATAATGATTTTATCAATTTATGATTTTAGATATTAAGTGATCTGACCTCCCTCAATGCAAGAGTTGAAATCATGGAAAACAAGACC